TCTGCTAGAAGAAAAATATCTAACTGTACGCAAAAAAATAACGTGCAACCTCTCCTGCTAGAAGAAAAATATCTAACTGTACGTAAAAAAATAACGTGCAACCTCTTCTGCTAGAAGAAAAATATCTAACTGTACGTAAAAAAATAACGTGCAACCTCTTCTGCTAGAAGAAAAATATCTAACTGTACGCAAAAAAATATCGTGCAACCTCTTCTGCTAGAAGAGAAATATCTAACTGTACGCAAAAAAATAATGTTCAAGGGTTGAGCCAAAAAAATAAATATCATGCAACCAAAATTCCTGCAACCCCCCCATCAATTATCGAATGGTCCATCCCTTAGACGAAAGAACATTTAACATTACATCCACCCATCCATCTATCAAATCACAACTCACGCCCACACAAACAATATACCATGAAACTTGACAGCAAATCATCAATTGACATTGAATTGATTAAGAAAAAATGCAAAATATAAACATTTCTGTTCAACCTTCAGGAAAACAATCCAGTTCGTGTTGGAGAAGTACTCGTGTCATTATGCTACTTACCAACCTCTGGAAGGTTGACATTTGTAGTCCTTAAAGCGAGGCTATCGAAGAAAGAAATTGGGGATCAATTACCCAGTAAGTTTTGTTGAATCGGTTTTTTTCTTCTTTTCTTTTCTAGTTTTTTCAATTTATTAATGAATAAAACTCCTAAAATATAATATAATGCTAGATATGTGCGCTATATAAATATACACCTAATTCAAAAAACGTTGTCATCGCCAAAGGCGATAGGCGATAGGTCATTCCGACATGGACATGGTTTCGTTCAATACAAAAAAACATCGAATCAGTCTCAGCACGAAGGTCCATACTCTTGAAGAGAAGAAGAAGAAGAAACACAAGTCATTCCAGCTATTCTTGGATCTTTGAATGACATATATCCTATCGCTTTTCGCCTATCTCCTATTGCCTATTGCCTTTAGCGATGACAACGTTTTTTGAATTAGGTGTATTTAAAAGTTACTCATCCTTAAATTTTCTTTCGTCGTGCTTTTTGTTTGTTCATTTGTTTGTTTGTTCGTTCGTTTGTTTGTTATTTTCTGTCTGTCTTTCTCTATTTCTTCTTTTCTTCCGAACATCTTATATTCTGTACCTTATATTTTCTACCTCGCCATTTTTCCTTTCATCTTTATATTGTTTTTGGTGCCACAATCTTGGTTTTTTTCCTTTTTCCTTTCCTTGTCGTTGTCGAAGGGTTTGAATTAACTCATGATTATATACTGTAAGTATGCTAGCCCAAACGTGACAATACTTCAAATTGCATTTTTTCATGATCAAGCAGTACTTTTATACATCGAGTTGATTTTCATTACACCAAGACCCTTGTGTTCTATGTCTAGTCATTTGTTTCGCTTGTCTAGTCATTTG